ATATATAGTATATATATATATAGTATATATATATATATAGTATATATATATATAGTATATATATATAGTATATATATATATATATATATATATATATATATATATATATATATATATATATATATATATATATATATATATATATATATATATATATATATATATATATATATATATATATATATATATATATATATATATATATATATAGCTGAATTGACTTCACTGGATTTAATGTATTTCATTGATGTAAATCAATGCCAAATGTTTAGTTTCATAGATATATTCAGCTATATTTCGAAAAATATACGTTAAAATCCAAATACTTGGTTTATATTATATATATTAGCGAGGACGTTTTTGCTTTAAAGTTGGCATCAGATGAAATGAGAAAGCGGCGCTCAGGGTTATTTACCATTTACATGGAAAACCCATCCGGTTTGAAATTGTGCTAATCATGGTAAGCGAAATTTCGGATAGAAAATCCCATTCGGATTATGCGCTTTCCATTTAGAGTGACTGACCGGAAGGCACTGAAGGGTTGTTTACCATTTATAGGGAAAACCCATCCGGTTTGAATTAAATCGCGAAGAGCATGGAATGGGTGAAAAAATAAAAAAAATGTAAATGGAACAACATTTACCGGTTGAAACTTTCCAATCGGTAAGAGAGGACAACCTTTTCAAACAAACCGTTTATTCCGGAAAAGTTCCGGTTGGGCCGTCGAAATATGCTTGTTCCATTTACTTTCCGTATGGAATCACCGGAATTTCCATGTAAATGGTAAACAACCCAGCTAACATTATCGTCCTTCTCGTTGAACGTTCAACCATTAAGTTGCGATTGCTTGGTTGTTTACCATTTACATAGAAATTCCGATGATTCCATACGGAAAGTAAATGGAACAAGCATATTTTGACGGCCCAACCGAGACTATTCCTGAATAAACGGTTTGTTTGAAAAGGTTGTCCTCTCTTACCGATTGGAACGTTTCAACCGGTGAATTTTGTTCCATTTTAATTACATCTTTTTTTTATTTTTTCACCAGTTCCAGGCTCTTCGCGATTTAATTCAAACCGAATGGGTTTTCCATGTAAATGGTAAACAATCCTTCAGTGCCTCCGGTCAGTCACTCTAAATGGAAAGCGCATAATCCGAATGGGATTTTCTATTCGAAATTTTGCTTACCATTAGCACAATTTCAAACCGGATGGGTTTTTTTCAATGTAAATGGTAAACAACCCTTATTCCGAATTTTGTACCGATTTCACCTGATTTGTTGACACTGTTATTTTTTATTACAAGGAACTGTCGACTTTTACCAAGACTGGAACAACTATAGCACTGGATTTGGAAACCTGAGTGGAGAATTTTGGTTGGGTTTGGAGAAGATACATCGACTAACCAAAAGTGAAAATGTTACATTACGTATTGATATGGAAGATTTTAACAGGGTTTGAGTATATGCTGAATATGATTTGTTTCTGGTTGGAGATGTGAGAGAGAATTTTACACTTACTGTGGGATCTTTTGAAGGTATATGCTTGCAGTGTTGATCTAGCTGTTGTCATATTATCTTAGATATATTGTCGTCTGCATCTAAGCATGAATACATTCTTCCCTGTATATGGTTGGTATCTTATCAGTGGCGCCGCCAGGATTTTATCTTTTGGGATGCAACTTAATAATTTGTCATGATTCTACGGGTGACCGGGAGCAGGTTCCGCAGGGAAAAAAGTTAACTATTAAATTGTGGAGGCATTTGAAGAAAAAAGTAAAGTAAAGTCTTAATAAATCACCTTTTAACAGTCTCAAATATTAATTTCAGAATATTTGACAATTAAATTCAGCGGGAGACATAGTCACATCGCACAAGATACGCAACATTGTCTAATGTCAATTTCACCAAAAGTACACAGTTCGAAAATGTTCGCCAAACTGCAAATTCCGAAATTCATTTTTCGCACATGCTCCTGGTTAGGTGTAATAAATGTATAAAATTAATTATCAGTCATATCGAGTGCAGATGCCCAAAATCCTGATATATGGTATATATATATATATGTATACTTCGTGCATGGTTTTGCATGGTGTAACTTAATAACCTACCATACTTTAATGGTATGTTACACAGGTACTTATCATATGGACGGTCTATTCTATCACAATGGTATGCAATTCAGCACCAAGGACAGAGATAACGACATGACCACCTTTGGACACTGTGCTCAATTACACCAAGGAGGATGGTGGTACAAGCATTGTACGAACTCTAATCTGAATGGTATTTATTACCAGCGTGGAGTACCAGCTGATAGTAATTCTGGTATCACGTGGATACCGTGGAAAGGATCTTTTGAATCGTTGAAGGCGACGGAAATGAAGCTCAGACCTCGGTCATTTGGAGAAACTGATATATAGTCTTCGCCGTTGTCCATGTTGTACCATGGTCAATAGAATAAGAAGGTCGGACATACAAAAACTGATCTTTCCCGACATACAAAAATTTTTCCCGACATATCGTAATCTGTTAACTATTTCCGTGATTTTAGTAAATTTAGCAAACCTTTTGCTATAACTATTACTTTTTATTCCGAGCCACTCAAATATTTTCGCTGACTACGAAAACAATTTGCCGATAAATCCAAAAATATTTTCCGAGTCTAGCGGACATTTGCCGAGTCCGTGATGAATGGGGGTGTTACACCCCCGCCCCCTTTAGCAACGCCCATGCCCAAACCTTCTTATTCTGTTGACTTTGTCCTTACGAAGTTCGAGGCTTCATTCCTTTCAATTTTGTGAACTATATATACATATGTAATTATAATAGATTTCTCTTAAAGCAGATCAGTTTTAAATAAAACCTATCCAGTGTAAGTCGCCTGCACGTTACGTCATGTTATAATATTCCTACAAAAGAATCTCATTTATTATCTTTCATTGAATTTAATTTGGCACCAAGATGGCTAGGGTTCAATTTTGGGGCACCTAAATTGGGTACTGTATGTGCAAAAATGACACGCATGCAAAACATGATTGAACAGTCACAAGAGTAGCATAGGAAGATATTCGAAGTTAGGAGCTAGGGCTGGAAACTATATGGGATTCCGTTCCCATACTTCCCTGGAAAAACATTGGAAAATCGAAATTCGGAAATGCCATTTCTTGCACTTTATGGCAACGAATTGAAAAATTTGGACAACAAAAATGCTGCCGGAAATTTCTTCATAATTGGTTTTGGTCAGTTTGTTTGACTTGGTGCCTTGGTGGGGCTAAAATCGCCGGCAAATTTGGCTAATTAGCATATACGACTTAATCGGCTATTTTTAGGGCGGCTTTGCCCCTGTGAAAACTGTGACGGGTGCTGAAGCCCCCATTCTAAATTCACTTGAGGAATATTTCATTGACCACAATGTTCATAATTTTGTTCACTTTGCCTTTTAGGAAGCATTCAAGAATCTTCATTCTACTGTTTTACTCTGATCGTTTGGCTTAGCCCCCGCTCCCATTTCTTCTAGGGGATTATATCCCCCCCCCCCCCCTGCGCAGGGGAATATAATGTGAAGATTAATCGGCTTCACTTACATCAGGAGACGGGATGCTAGGTTCCAGTATTTTCACATGAAAAAGTGCTGAAATATACCTTATTCGTACTTAATTTTTGGCGACTTTCACGATTGTAAAAAATCGCAAAACTAAAGTCGCGCGAATGAAAAACCTCGCGGACTTTACACGCGCGAAATTAACCCCAGTCAAAAATTTGAACAATAAAATTCTTGATAAATATGATCAACAACATGTGCAGCTCATATATCGACATAAAAAACAAATTATTTAATAATAGTCTTAATATTAAAGGTTTGCATTTTTGTCTTGTTACTGACAATATAATGTTGTACAGTCATTATTTTTTTCCCAATAGTCCTGTTGATGGCCGGGAGTGGGTGGGGATCGCCCGCTGCGAAAACATATTTTAAGTAGAAACTGCCCAACTAATAAAATATTGTAACCTATGTTTTTAATGTTTTCACACAAATATTATAATACCACAAGCACAGATACAGAAAACGTATATATCTATATCTGAACTTCATATAAGACAAGACACCTACTAACTCCAATATATACCCATGTTTATACATGTTATTTATATTGTGCAAATGTTCCTGTGCTGTTTTGTACTTGTGTGTGAAGGCATGAAGCTGTGCATTATGTGTATTGTATTTTGTTAAACCAGGTCCGTCAACGTAATTGGCTTACGCTGTGTTGACGTTCCTGTGCCGTTTTGTACTAGCGTAAATTTTGTAAACGGCAAAGTTTATAAATAAAAATAATAAAAACCGTCTATAGTTTACTCATTTCTACATTGACTTTATTAGAGATATTTATATTTATTAGACATCGAAGATTCTCCTGTACTAGTTGTGCACACATCACTTGTTGCCGGTATTCTTGCTCGCGAGTTAACTTCATGAAACCTTCCTTCTGAAGAAGACCCAGGATAACTTTGCTTCCCACTTGTGACAGATTATTTACTTTATCCACACAATAAGTTCTTGTATTTGACTTTAGTTTCCGAGGAAAGCACACAGTAGAATATAAACACCAAAAGTCCTTGAATTGAGTTGAAAATACAAAATAGATATTGAAAGACTAATTTAGCATCACGTATAGCGAGAATACCGAATAGCCAGGTTAAACCAAGCACAACCAAGATGGCGGAAGCTCGTCTGGCGTGTTGTAATCCAGTGGCTCTCTTGTCTGCCGCTACTTTACTTCCGGCTGTCAGCAGTGAGCGAATGATAAGAACGAATGCTATGGAGTTTACAACGAGGATTAAAACCACTGGAGTCAAGAAGCCAACCTGGAACGGTAGACCTTGCACTCGGCAACTACAAGGAAAAATAAATCTTAAGAAAACACTCGGAACCATATTCAAGTTTGCATAATTTTACCATTCGACAAGAAACGCATGAAACTGGACGGATTAGAGGACAGTTAACAATACGAATTTCCGTTTGAACAAATGGAAACAGACAAATTTGAGGTTCCGAATTCGTTTGTCTCGCGTGTGAAAGTAGTCTTACGTCATCCATGCAAAACAAACAAACTTACAAGTTTTCATCACCATATTCTTCAATCGCTATTGCGGCTGTTATTATCACAATCACAGCTGGTAGACCTGAAAAAATTATTAACTTTTTAACTTTAGAATCTATATCAACATCAATCGATTGATCCTTATTATTCAATCAAACAACCAATTAATCGATAATACAATCAATTACTCACCCCATCCAACCACACAGCATTTCAATATAAACTTGGAATGATATCTTGGCATAACTTTAACAAATGCTAGATACATGCTGTAAGCTTGTATAGATGTCCAGACAAACACGACTAACACAAAATAATGTAGAGCTATTGCTGCAACCCTACAGGCAGCAAAGGACGAGGTGTTTGATCTCTCCGCAGCCACCAGAAACACGATTAATGTTAGCGAGAGAGCAAAGCAGAAATTGAGTAAGATCCGAGTTGGCACTTTGCATCGAAGATCTCTAAAAATCGAGACAACAAAATTATAGTTAAAAATAATCATCGATTTATTATCTGTGACAATAAATAATAACTAATATATCAATATTATTTATTTAAAAAATTCATTAATAATTCGCGAGGAAAATACAAAAGAAATGAATGTTTAATCAATGTTTGTAAATCGGATAAAGATTTGTCCTGATTTACATAAACTTCAGCTTTGATTTTCTCGGCTTAGACAATGTTTATTTTTAAAATTACTTCGCCAATTAACTCATAAGATGGGTCATTTTTTAAGTACGATAAAACATTCGCATCCGATCAGTATCTGATATACAAACTCTCACCTTCGGCTCAAGTTTGTATATCAGATAAAGATCAGTTGCTCATGTTTTAACTAGTACTAATTGTGTGATTACATTGTTAAAAGTGGTAAAGGTATCCATGCAGTATAAGCTAAAGTTATTTTTGTTTAGGTTTCCTATCTTACTAGCCTGTACAACAAGCAGTTTAGAACTAATAGAGGTATCCGATATAAATAAAGGAAATTACCTGTAAGTAGAACAGGTATAAGAACTGATGGAACTATCCAGTATACATATAAAGTTAGTATATTTACTTACTTGAATATAAGCATAGTGAATATAGTTAGGACAAGACCAAACAATGAGATAGCACATCCAATGTAACTGATGACACTCAGAACTTTATCATGAGTCTCGTCTCTGTCATCAATATGCACATCCTGCAAAAGAATAATCGAACAAAGAAGAAATATTTCTCTCTCTTACAGAACATGCTTGATCAAATGTGAAGAATTAATCTGCAAAGTAAGCTGTTCGTAAAAAAGTGTTTTGCAGTTCTTGCAGATTTAAACATAATAAAAAGAGTCTGTTTTAAATGTGATCAAAATTAGAGTAAATTGCAAAAGATCTCAGATTGAAAGGGTATAAACAACATACATGGTTGGCAAGGCGGGCCAGGCAAGTAATAGACTAATTCTGCTACCATAAATATTCGAGTAGCTGGAAAAATCTTACCAGTTACCATTGCTTTTTTCTGGATGTGGGAACTAAAATCTAGCATTATATTATTTGCACTAATGAAGATCCGGCCGAGCGGACTTACAGATCGAAAGGTGGCTACCTACACTTTTCAGTTAACAAATGGAAGATTTTCTGACTTTGGACATGAATTTCCGGACAATAATAATTTGTTGAAAAACAAAGAGCATTTGACTTGAATAAAACAATAACTAAGTCTAAGTTAGAGTACGTTTTTTAAAATTTACTCCTAACAGCCGTTGCTATGGCAACAATGTCGTTTCAATATGGCGGATATTTTTTATTTAAAGTAATCTTGAATTCGAAAATAAGGTCGGTGACCCTCATTTTTTATTTTATAGCATGATTTCTTTTAGTGTGTTGAATCATTTTCGAGATTTAAAAAAATCCAAGTAATCTGAATTCTAGTAAACTGTAGGGAGCCACCTTAAGAGGCAATTTTTTCTATGTCGTGTATTTGCGATGAAAATTCTTCAAAATCGAAATTTTTTTGGCGTTCCTCTCGAAATTGCTTTAATTAAACAGCTAGCTACTTTTTTAAATGCATTTGCCGGTTGGGAAACAGAAAATAATTGTCAATTATGCTTTAAAAGTGACGCCATGTATTTAATACGGCAATATAAGCAAAACTTGCTAAACTTCAGACATCATTTTCTCTTTGGCGTATCATCTACAATCTCTTCATTTTCGCATTATTTTACAGATAAAGCGCTACATATACATTTTAAGTTTGACAAATAAAATTTTAATATAGTCATTAACCGCAAGTGGTAGCTATATTAGTTTTCAGTGCGTGTTACGTAACATACAAAAAATATCCTCTTAAATTAATAAACCTGTTGTTTTCCACAAAACAAAACAATTATATTTATTTAAGTATATATTAAGTATATACTTCTGTATAAACCTTACCATCAATATAGCAAAGTTAGTCAAATGTGTACAATGACACGTGACTACATCATCCACAATTCCTTGATAACTACATCCAACAGATGACCAGTTTCCTAAACCGCTCTTCCCCGCGGTGAAGTTCCAAAAAACACAAGCCGTTGTTTCGTCTCTGCCCACATCCAGTGGCTGATAAGTTGTTTTTATAGGATCTGTGAGGTTAGTTAACCTCTGGCCTTTTACAGAACCTGATATTACGAAACTATTCTTTCTTCGAACTGCATTTGCTTGCGACGCCGAGTTTGGTTCTTTTTTCTCTGAGGTTATAAAGAATGAGGTCTTGCGATATATTGCGAACGAGATGCGTTGATTCTGAGTGTTTACGTCGATATCTAAGTCTTTAAACAGCGAGCTTGGCATGGTCAATGACACGTGTGATTGATTAGGTTGAACGCCTGATTCGTTATCATAGATTACCAAGTTATGTGCTGTATTTTGTTCAACAGAGGCAGCAGCAGCTCCCTCGAAGTCTCGGGAGTTATATTCTTGTGTATATACAGCGATGTTCTCTTCGTTTTGGCTTACATTTTGACTAAGTGTTAGAAGAATGTTCTCTAAATATTGATCCAGAACTCTTATGATTCTGTAAGGAAATGTAAATTAGTCCTGATGTGGACCTACTATAGCCTACATTGAGCATTCTAATGTTCTCCGAAAAATGACCAATAGGCAATACTTCGAATATTCACTGTCCTGAGCATTCTGAAGTATATGCCGTAATATCGGGGGTGGAAGTAAAATAATGAACACCAGGGGC